AGGGCTCCTCCTAGCCCTCAGGTGGACCTTGTGGTGATACGTCAGCCCCATGATGTGAGTGATGTGCACAGTACATGAGGTACTACTTGTAAAGTGCTTTGAGCAAAGCCTGGCTCCTAACAGGTGCTCAGTGAAAAGTACACAGTCTGTCTCAGACTCATTTTCCTCTCTGAAGACTGAATTAATTTGGACCAGATGTTTTATAAGGGTTTTTTTTCAATTCTAAATATCTTTGATCAGTCCTGGCACGGTTTAGGGACATCACCTTGGAGCATTCTTCGTGTCACCCAATCAAGCCTGCACCCAAATGAAAACCTGCCAAGGAAACAAACATCCCATGAGGACTGAAGGAGAAGCATCAGGAATAGTGACAGGGATGGAAATGTTCTTTTGCAGAGCTCATGGTTGTTAGCTGGTCTCAGAGGGTCCCCAGAGTACCTCTGCTGCTGATTAAGAACAAGGCAGAGAGGTCTCCTGGTCCCCCAGGCTCCCTCTTTATAATTTCTCAGGACTGCTACTTCTTTGTGGGTGATGCTCCATCCCATTGGTGCAGGATGTTCTCCTTATCTCTGATTGATGGAAATAAAGACAAAGGCAGCCAGAGGAGCCAGCAAGCTTGGGTCCCCAGGCAATTGCCCCAAGTGCCTTCCCTGACATGTGAGCCCTTATCACTGGCAATCTCCGGGTAGAATCTAGATACTCACGTGGAGCCCTGAACTTGGCCCACCTTCCATCCCTCCATATTGATAAAGAGCCTCTCTATGTGCCAGGCATGTATAACCAGGCATCAAACGATTAACAAGCAATTAATGCAAACCAGAGATCTGCAGTGCATTGAAAGCGTCTGACTCTTTGTCAAGCATCTGCTTGACAAAGTCACAAAGGTGGAAATTTCTGGTCAGAGCCAAACAGCCTGTCTGAGCACTTGACGAAAGCCAGCCCATGTCTCACTTCAATTTTGCAATTCATATCTCAGCTTCTTTTTTCCCAGTAGTTCCTGTAAGCAGAGGTCCCAAGATGCCTGGCGTGGGAATAGGTAATAATTATGCGTTGGTTTTTCTCCATTTCCCCTCTAGATTCGCTCTCTCCCTTCTCCCGGCTCCCATTTCAGTTTGTAAGAGACTGGCCACTGTGGACTTCCTCAATGGGTCCTCTGGCTCCCTTTGAGTTTGGGTCAATAGGAAGCACCAGAAACATATTGAAGGTATGAGGCACCCCAAAAATGTAAGACAGGTCTCAGTTAATTTAGAAAGCTTCTTTTGCCAAAGTTGAGGACGTACACCCATGGCACAGCCTCAGGAAATCCTGACAACACATGCCCAAGGTAACCAGAGCACAGCTTGATTTTATACATTTTAGGGAGACATGAGATAGCAATCAATATATTTAAGAAGTGCACTGGTTTTGTCCAGAAAGGCAGGAACAACTCAAAGCAGGGAGGGTCTTCTAGGTCGCTGGTAGGTGAGAGACACATGGTTGCATTCTTTTGCTGTTTCTTATAAGCCTTTCTAAAGGAGGCCGTCAGAATAGGCATCTATCTCAGTGAGCAGAAGGATGACTTCCAATAGAATGGGAGGCAGGTTTGCCCTGAACAGATCCCAGCTTGAATTTTCGGTTAGCTCAGTGATTTGGGGGGCCCAAGATATCTTCCTTTCACAAAGGGCAGGAGGAGAGAGGGCAGAGTATTCACCCCTAACCCCATCTCCTTCCCTGGGCTGTGGTACAGTGAAGCTCTGTTCTTCCCCACAGGACCACAGTCATATGGGGTAGCTCTTCCTATGGCATTCTTCCTATAGCTCTTCCTGATAGAGTTGATGAAACCACTCCCTTCCCTTGAGCCTTCAAGCCCAGGGGTGGTATCAGCCCAGGGCACTTAACTACCTCGAATTGGCTCCCTTAACCCAGCCCACCTCCCTGTAAATAGTCACTACACTCTCTTCAGCCTCTCCTTTGGAGTGCCGTCTGCCTCCTGCTGGGACCCTGCCTGAGACAGATGTTTACATAAATACTTTGAGACTAAAGGATTTACATCAATCCCAGAATTATTTCCCTAGTGAGCACAATATTTTATGAAGGGTCTCATTTGTAAACTTAAGAAAGAATGGTATAAGTGAATATGTAAGAAATCCTTTTTCAGTATCTTTTTCCCTCTAGGAGGCTTTCAGAAAGCTTAAAATCCCCTGGAATTGGATGCTCCTGGATTTCTGGCTTGCAATCACTGCTCAGCAATTATTTAGTAACTGCAAACCCCTCAAAGAACAAGAACAAGCAAGGAAAGTCTCACCAGGACATTCAGGGTTCATTGCAATTTGGTTCTGAGCTGCCCCTCCATCCTCCCCTCCAAGTCTGTGCCCCTAAAATCACAGCCACCAGAGCACTGCCTCTCCTCTAGGTTCATTCTGGATTCTTTGACTGGCATGTCCCGCTCCTTCCAAACACACCCATCTTCCACCTCTTCCTTTACTGAAGTCCTAGTCGTTCCTCAAGGCTCAGTCCATATCCTACCTTCCCTCGCAGTCATGCCTGATTCCCTACTCCTCTGGACCATTAGTTCATCTCCTGTTCTTTCCCTTCCTTCAGTTCCCAGAATCGTTTTATTTTTTAAATTAATACTTAATAAAATTGGCTTTCTGGGGGCCATAAAATTCTGTAAATTTTAACATGCATATAAAATCATGTAAACACTATCGCAAACAGGAAACAAACAATTTCATCAACCATAGAAACTTTCTCATGCTATCACTTTGGAGTCATGTATATATATGCATGTGCATACATAGGTATGTGTGTATATATACATACATATATATTTATCTATATGTGTGTATATATATATAGTGTATATACATATGTGTGTAATTGAGTAGTGTATTTATATATACACTCTCAGTCTCTCTCTATATATAAATATACACTCTCAAAGTCTCCTTCTCTCTCTCTTTCTATATATATATATATGATGTTCATCTATATAATATATATATAGATATAGATGTTTATATATATAGAGAGAGATATTTATTGCAAGGAATTGGATCACATGATTATGGAGGTTAAAAACACAAGATAAATGTTCATCTATATGTATATAGAGATGTTCATATATATGTGTATATATATGTGTATATCTATCTATCTCTCTCTCTCACATATATGAGAGAGAGAGAGAGAGAGAGAGAGAGAGAGATTTATTGCAAGGAATTGTATCACATGATTATGGAGGCTAACAAATCCCAATATATACAGGGTGAGTCACTGACCTGGAGACCCAGGAGAGATTAAGATAAATCCCAGTTCAAGTATGAAGGCCCAAGAACCAGAAGAACTGATCAGGAAGTTCTTTCCCAAAGGCCTGCATGCTCAAGACTCAGGAAAAGCTCATGTTTCTGTTTGAGTTCAAAGGCAGGAAAAGATGATGTCCCAGCTCAAGCAGTCAGGCAGAAGGAAGGCTCTCCTACTCAGGGGAAGACAAGCCTTTTGTTCTTTTCAGGTATTCAGCTGATTGGATGGGGTCCACTCACATAAGAGAAGGTACTCTGCTTTACTCAGTCTACCAATTTAAATGTTAACTTCATCAGTGTCAACATCCAGAGTAATGTTCCACCAAATATCTGGGCAGCCTGTGGCCCAGGCGAGTTGACACACAAAATTAGCCATCACAAGCATATAAACGGAATCACAGAACATTTAAACTTTTAAGAATGACCCCTTTCACTCCATAAATGCATTTTAAATACATTCAAATTATTGTGTGTATCAGTGTTTCATTCTGTTTTTTTTCTTTTGTAGAGTAATATTCATTGTGGGGACTCACCACACAGTTTGTTGATTGATATCCATTCATTCACTGAAGAATATTTAACTCATTTCCAGCTTGTAAATGATGAATAGGGCTACTGTAAACATTGGTGTGTAGGTTTTTGTGTGACCATAAGTTTTAATATCTCTACGATAACCTAGAAGTGGGATTATTGGGATCATTTAACCTTATAAATACATTTTGTAAGAAACAGTCAAAATATTTTCCACAGTGTTTTGATCACTTTATATTCCTACTGGCCATGCACAAGTGTTTCCAGTTGTTTCACACGTGAAGCACTGGCATTATTAATAATGTCCTCTTTTGGTTTATTATGTTTTTTTTTTTTTTTACCATCCTAAAAGGTACATAGTGATATCTCATTATGGCCTTAATTGGCATTCCCCTAATGTCAAATGATCTTAAACATCTTTTACTATACTAATTTGACTTCCATATATGGTCTTTGATCTTTGCCTGTTCAATTCGTTTACCCATTTTCTAACGAGGTTCGTTTGTTTTATTACTGTTGAGTGTTGAGAGTTTTTTTTTAACACTCGAGAGACAAATCATTTCTCAGCTATGTGATTTGCAAATATTTTCTCCAAGTCTGTAGCCCGTCTTTTTGTATTCTTCATGGCATTTTTGTAGACCAAAACTTTTAATGCTAATTAACTCAGGCTTTGCTTTCATGTGAAGAATTCTTACCACTCAGGTGATGAGTGCATCAAAATCTCACAAATCACCTCTAAAGAACTTACTCCAGCCAGGCGCAGTGTCTCACACTTGTAATCCCAGCACTTTGGAAGGTCGAGGCAGGTGGATCACCAAGTCAGGAGTTTGAGACCAGCCTGGCCAATATAGTGAAACCCCATCTCTACTAAAAATAAAAAAATTAGCCAGGTGCTGTGGCACACACCTGTAGTCCCAACTACTCAGGAGGCTGAGGCAGAAGAATCACTTAAACCTAGGAGGCAGAGGTTGCAGTGAGCAGAGATCATGCCACTGCACTCCAGCGTAGGTGACAGAGCGAGACTCTGTCTCAAAACAACAACAACAGAAAACTTACTCATGTAACCAAAGCACATGTTCCCCAAAAACCTATAGATTTTTTTTTAAAAATTGAAAAAAGAACTCCTGATGAATCCCATGTTACAAAGGTTTTCTCCCATATATTTTTCTAAAAGATTCATAGTTTTACCTTTTACTTTAACTTCATGACCTTCTCTGTATCTTGTGTTACTTTTTGCATAAAGTATCCAGTTTATATTGAGATTCACGTCTTGCAATACAGATGTCCACTTGTCCTGAAATTATTTGTTGAAAAATCTCTGTTTTTTCGTTGATTTGCCTATGAATAGATGCCAAAAATCAATTAACCATGTTTGTATGAATTTATTTCTGGACTCTTCATTCTTTTCTATTGACCTATGTATTGATTCCTTCACCTTTCTTGCATATTGCAGCATTGTGGCAACTCTTTAAATTGAGTAGTGTGACTTATTCCACTTCACTCTTTTTTGACATTGTTTCAGTTATTCTGATTCTTTTTTTGCCTTTCCACATAAATTTGAGAGTAAGCTTGTCTATACGTACAAAAAAAAACCTGCTTCAATTTTTATTGCAATTGCTTTAAATGTATACAGCGATGTGGAGAGAAGTTTGCCTGGGGTGTTTCTTCTTCTATTAGGATCTGCTTTGACTGCATTCACCACTGTTTTATCATTTTCAGCACACAGATTCTACATATGTTTTTTAAGCATATACCTAACATTTTCGTTATTTGGAGATATTATAAACTGCACTTTCTGTTTACTAGTTGTCCACTGCTACTATACAAGAATAAGACAGATTTTTAAAATGTTGACCTTGTTCCCTTATTTATTAGTTTCAGGAGGTTTTCCTAGATACCTTGGGATTCTCCATGTACAAAATCAAGTTATCTGTGAATAGAGACAGTTTTATGTGTTTATTTCCCATCTATATTCCTCGTATTTCTTTTTCTTATCTCATTGCACTGGCTGGATCTTCCAGTATAATATTGCATTATATTGGTAAAAGTGGACACCTTGAATTGTTCTCATTTTTAGGGTGAAAACAGATACCCTTTATCAGATTAAGGAAGTTCTCTCTTATTTTCAGTTTGCTGGCAATTTTATGAATAGAAGTTGAATTTCATCAAACTCTTTCTCTGTATTAACTGATATCATTTTTTTTCCTCTTTACACTACTAACATGGTGGATTACATTGATAGATTCTGGGTACTGAACTATCTTTGCATTCCAAGGAAAAACTCCACTTGACCATTATGTACTTTTCTTTTAATCTATTACTGAATCTGATTTGCTAATATTTTAGAAGGACTTTTACACCTGTACTCAGGAAGGATAATGGCTTAGAATTTTCTTGTCTTATACTGCCTTTATCCAGTTTTATGTTAAGATAATTTGGGCCTCATAAAACAAATTGGCAAGTGTTCCCTTCTTTCTTTTTGTTGGAAGAGATTGTGGCAAATTTGTGCTATTTCTTCTTAAATATTTGGTAATATTCACCAGTGAAAGAACTCTTCTGATGCCAGAGATTTCTTTTTCAGCAGATTTTTAACTATGAATTCAATCTCTTTGATAATTAAAAGTTCTAGTTATCTCTTACATCTTGGTTGAGTGTTGCTAGTTTGTGATTTTTTTTTTCGAGGAATTGGTGCATTTTATCTAAGTTGTAGTGTTTATAGGCATATAATTACCCAGAATCTGTTCTTATTTATTCCTGATATTTATTTGTTTTATCTATTTTTTCTTTGTCAGTCCTGCTAGGTCCACCACATCAGATGGTCCCTCTCACAGTTTCATGTTTCCGTTTTTTCATTGTTACAGTGTTGTTTCTAAGTACCTTTTATGCATTTTCCCTTCCCAAGGTTCTCAGGATCTGGAATAGAGCCTCACACACTGAACGGATGGCATTTTTTTCTTTATTCTTTTCTTTAATACTTTTTTCTTTTAACTAAGAGAAGCACCCACAAGCCTGTGTGTAGGTCCTCTCCTCTCCAAAGGCAGTTCCAATTCCCTGAGCTAGATTTTTTTTTCTTTTTCTTTCAGTAGTTTTGGGGATACAGGTAATTTCTGGTTACATGGATGGGTTCTTCAGCAGTGAATTATGAAATTTTAGCTCACATGTCACCCAAGCAGTGTACACTGTACCCAATATGTTTTCTTTTATCTCTCACCCTCTTCCCAACCTCCCCACTCTAAATCCCCAAAGTTCATTATACCACTCTGTATGTTTTTGTGTCCTCATAGCTTAGCTCCCACTCATAAGTGAGAACATACAGTATTTGGTTTTCCAGTCCTGAGTTGCTTCACTTAGAAAAATGGCCTCCAGTGCCATTCAAGTTGCAGAGCTGGATGTTGATGACACCTTGGTCTGCTGCCACCACATTTATTTTGTGAGAAGCAGCAGCGCCCACTACTGGCTCCTAGGGGGAGCTCATCACGCCTCTCTACCACCACAGGCTGCCTCCTGTGGGCAGGAGTTCTCAAGTGCATTGATCAAGTGCATAGATGTTCCCTGTGTCTAGGAGTGTAGATTTTCCTTACTTTTTGCCCATGGTATTGCTTTGGGATTTTTCCCCTCTTACTCTGTTAAGTCTGCGGAGGAAAGTGGGGTTATAGAAAGCTTCTATTTAGGAATCACTCAGCCCTGCAGTTTCTGCCTGTCTATCTCTTTCTGGACTTTTTGGGTCATCTCTCACGCTCACTCTTTCACTCTCTCCAGAATGAGAGGTCTGTTCTGCTCTCAGCATGAGGCCAAATACTCTGTTATCTTCTTCAATGGTTTTCTAATGTGTCTTTAAATTGCTCCATCTTCAGTTGTAACAGTGATAGAATGCAGAGACTCACACTTGAGTAGTATGGACTCAGAAAAGGGGTGGAAGAGGCAATCCAGCCTGTTGTCATGGCTCTATGTCTTGAGTCCGTATCAAAGTCAGAAAGAAAGACTCCACGTGATCCAGTCTAGCTCTTTCAGAGACATGGACAGTGGTTTGGAGCAAAAGCTTTTTGATATGAAAGAGTGTGTTTTTACCCTGCCCTTCACTCTATCTGTAGATTTCAGTCAGGTATTTTGCACAGGGCCTTAGGGGAAGCTGTGGAGGAAAAGCATTGGAAATCCAGCTGCTGAACCCTCAGCCATCATTCTAAGACTTACTGTGGTTCAGCTGAAGATCAAGAGGCCACTATAGCCAGGCACAGTGGCTCATGTGTGTAATGTCAGCACTTTGGGAAGCTGAGACAAGAGAATCACTTGAGGCCAGAAGTTTGAGACCAGCCTGGGCAACAGAGCAAGACTCTGTCTCAGAAAAAAAAAAAGACCACCACAGAGACTCTATAGCCTTTCAAAACAGACTATAATTCAGGTTATCCTACAGCCAGAGGCATCCCTGATAACAGACTGATATGGTTTGGCTCTTTGTCCCCACCCAAATCTCATCTTGAATTGTAGTCCTCGTGTGTGGGGAAGGACCTGGTAGGAAGTGATTGGATCACAGGTTCAATTTCCCCCATGCTGTTCTCATGACAGTGAGTTCTCACAAGATCTGACGGTTTACAAATATGGCACTTCCTCCCTCTCTTTCTCTCTCCTACCACCATGTAAGACATGCCTTGCTTCCGCTTTGCCTTCTGCCATGATTGTAAGTTTCCTGAGGCCTTCCCAGCCAGGTGGAACTGTAATTCCATTAAACCTCCTTTCTTTATAAATTACCAAGTCTCAGATAATGTCTTTATAAGAGTATGTGAACAGACCAATATATAGACCCTTTGGCATAATTAAAACTCAAGCTTCTTCAACTAGAGAAAAAACAATCAGCTGACAATATTTTAGGGGCTCCCAGCAGTTTACTCCATCTACAAAGCAGGCTTTCTGCTCATTGATCCTATTCCATTTCGCATAATGTCAAAATCTTCAGGCCCTGGTGGATCTCTGCCTCAGATCCTATCCGCCTCTATCTCACCAGCTTATGCCAAACCTTAAATCCACTCATAACAAGCCAACCACAAACACTTCAATGATTCCCCCAAATCACATTTATTGCAAGAGCTGTCATAAAATGATCAACAGAATCCAAAAGCATCATTTTCAGTCACTTCTCATCATAAACTCCATTCAGCATTTTTGAAGGAGAGAAATTAAGTTGAAAGTGAAGAAAGATTCTTAGAAAGCATCCCCACAGTGCCGTTTTTCAAAGACTTAATCAAGACTTATTAAGTTTTAATTGCATGTGAAGCACATAACTAGATACTCTGATGAACACAAAGCAAGTATGAAGTACGGTCAACCTTGAGAGCATCCGCTCTGGTAGAAAGACAATTAGACCTCAGACCAGATCTTAAAATCCAGATTTCTTATTTACTGGCTGTGTAATTCAGATTCTAGACTTACGACAAATTATTAAGAAATCTAGGGCTCAAAGAAGAACCAGTGAAACTATGGTGATAACCCCCAGTGGTATTTTGTGAGGAATAAAGTTAAATAACCAGGCTGGGCATGGTGGTTCATGTCTATAAACCCCAACACTATGGGAGGCAGAAGACAGAAGAGTGTTTTAGCCCGGGAGTTCAAGACCAGCCTGAGCAACATAACAAGACCCTGGCTCTAAAAAAATTAAATGATAAAAAAAAATTAGCTCAGCATGGTGGCATGCACCTGTCGTCTAAGCTACTCAGGAACGGAGATGGAAAATCTCACTTGAGCCCAGGAGTTTGAGGCTACAGTGAGCTATGACTGCACCACTGTGCTCCAGTCTAGGTAACAGAGTGAATACATTCCCTAAAACAAAACAACACAATTGATGGGTACTTGGTTAATATCGGCTGGTCAAATGGTTACAAGGATGGAGGCTTGCATCTATGAGCTTACTATCTAGTTAGAACACCAAGAAAAATATAAAGCAAATAATAGGAGAAGAACCGTAAGTTATGCACTGGTGGTAATATAAACTGCATACCTACGTGATGAGTGGAAGAAAGAAAGAAAAAAAAGCATTAATTGAAGAGTGAATTTGACCAAGAAACAGAAACACTTTGGAAAGGAAGGAAGGAAGATGTAAGCTGTGCCTGGAAAATGGGCACAGTTGCGATGAGCAGAGAGAGAGAGCAGCAGGTGGTGGAACTCCTGTGAATCGAGCAAACTACGAAGGGTATTTTCAGCTTCCAACATCCCCATGCAAGCCTTCAGATGCCCTCAGGAACCAAACAAAATGAAAACACTGTGCAAAAGCTATGTACCATTTGGCCTCTAGCTATGCCTTTCACTACTAAGCTATATGCACCGTCACCAGAAATGACACATACTCA